AAGATTTAGCCCTACTTAATATATGCCCTACTTCAACCTTGATCCAATACTGTGTAAGCGGCTAGTTGGTTAGGTTTTTCCTGATTTTTTCTTTTTTCTTTTGAAAGAGCATCTCAAGACTGGAGAGATGACTCAGAGGTTAAGAGCTGGCTGCTCTTCCAGAGGTCCTGAGTTCAATTCCCAGCAACCGCATGGTGGCTCACAACCATCTGTAACAACATCTAGTGCCCTCTTATGGCTTGCAAGCATACATGCAGGTAGAACATTGTATTCATAATAAATAAATAAATCTTTAAAAAAAAAAAAAAGAAAGAAAGAGCATCTCATGTATCCCAGGCTGGTCTTGAATTCACTATGTAGCTAAACTTGATCTTGAATTCCTGATCTGGGGCTGGAGAGATGGCTCAGCCCCAGAGCACTAGCTGCTCTTCCAGAGCACCTGGGTTCAATCCCAATACCCACATAGCAGCTTACAACTGTCTGTCCAAGTTCTAACTCTAATGCAAAAACTGACTTAGTGGAGTCCATTCTATATGGAGAGATACTTTGCTCGGCCTAGACACAGCGGTATGGGGGGTGGAGAGGTGCTTTGGTCCTGCCTCAACAAGATGATGGGACAGACTTAGTAGACTTCCTAGGGGAAGCCTTATCCTCTCCAAGGAGCAGATAGCAGGGAGAGGGCACAGTGGAGGGACCAGGAGGAGAGGAGGGTAGGAGGACTAGGATTGGAATGTAAAAAATAAGTTAACCAAAAAAAAAGCAAAAAAATAAAAAAGAATGCCATCTTGGACTGGGGAGATGACTCAGTAAAGCACAGAAACACAAATACCTGAGTTCAAATCCCTACCACCACTATAAAACAGCAGGTGTGGTGGTGCACACTCCAGTTCTCTGACAGAGTAGTAAGCACTGCTGAACCATCTCTACAACCACCATACTGGGTGTTTCAAAACTCAGGCAAAACACAAAACTTTCCCCACATTTTGAAGTGTTGGGATCACATTCAGGACTGTGTACATGCTAGGCAGACATTCTGCCCCTGAGCAATCCCCAGACCACAAAAACTATTTGAGTAAAATGTGAGCTTCATGGGGTATGGTAGCTCATGCTTGTAATACCATCACTAAGAAGGCTAAGGCAGGAGGATCAGCCTAAGTTTGGGGCCATCTTAGGCTACATGAAACTTTGCCTCAACAAACAAGTAAGTAAATAAATAGGAAAAGTGTCTTAAGTATATAGACTCTTAAATGTGACTGCAATGAAGCGGGACTAGATGGAGTGTAAACACAGGTTAGAAGATGATTAGATGGTGAGTGGTGACAGACTGAACACCATGTAGAGTCTTGGAGTCTCTTCCTTCAGTGTGAGGCAAACTGTCTATTCAGGTACTTTTCTTGCAAACGTCTATCCCTAGCTGGCTATTAACTGGGGGTCATGGAGAACTAACAACTAGACAACTCAGATATTTACCAAGTTGTATATCCTGGCATTCAACCCTATGCTGTAGTTATTGATGTTAGAAACCAGTGGTTCTCAACCTTCCTAATGCTACAACCCTTTTATACAGTTCCTCATATTGTGGTGACCCCCAACCATAAAATTATTTCATTGCTACTTCATAACTATAATTTTGCTACTGTTATAAATTATAATGTAAATATCTGACATGTGACCTCCAAAGTGGTTGCAACCCACAGGCTGGTATAAAGGGAGATATGTGTCCAGAAGCCTGGCTTGACACATGTGACTAGCAGTTCCCCTTTATAGTATGGTTGTGAGCCACCATGTGTTTGCTGGGAATTGAACTCTGGACTACTGAAAGAGCAGCCTGTGTTCTTAACAGCTCAGCCATCTTTCCAGCCCAGTAAGATATTCTTCTATCAAGTCCAAGTACTTAGCACTTGAAAAACCATTTGTTGTCAGACTTAATTTTTTGTTTGTTTGGTTGGTTGGTTTTGTTTTTCAAGACAGGGTTTCTCTGTGTAGCCCTGGCTGTCCTGGAAGTTGCATAAGCTGGCCCCAAACTCACAGAGATCTGCCTGCCTCTGCCTCCCAAGAGCTGGAATTAAAGGCTCAGGCTTAATATTAAAAGAATCATTTAAAAAAAAGAATAATTTTTAAACAATCTTATTTAAACATAAAGATGATGTGGAACATATATGGTGTGTCATGTTTTCTTTTATGAAAATCTATTGGGAAAAAAAAATATCAAAATCCTGAAGTGGTAGCCCATGTTAATAATCCCAACTCATGGGTGGCTGAGACAGAATTGCTTTGAGTTTGAAGCCAGCCTGGGCTACATAGCAAGTTTCAGGTCATACTGGGTTACAGTATTAGACCCTGGCTCAAAACACAAAACAACAATAATAAACTATTAGATGTTAATACAAAGAATGCTACTTCTCCTGAGTAAGCATTTTCTTTTTCTTTTTACCTTATGTACCTTGTGAATATTTAACTTAACTCTCTTGTTAGCTTCCAAAAAGCTTAGAGCCAAGTTTGTGGCTTGAGCATAACCGATGTACTCTATGCCTCGTTAACTTCACTCCTGACTCCAGTTTGTCTGAACTCTAGTTATTCCTTTCTTTTCTTCCTTTTTTTTTTTTTCCTGGTTCTCTTGCTTTTTTGCTGAGTGTAGAAGCCAGCCAGGGTCGTGCACATGGCACGCAAATGCACTGCCACCAAGCTGCTCTTCTAGCAATGTTATTCTTTCTTAGTAAAAACTTAATCCATACTTGGAAAGCCAATGACGGAGGATTGCCATCCAGTTCAGGCCAGCCTGATCTACATAGGAAGTTCCATCCAGGGCTACTTAGGAAAAGAGACTTTGTCTCACAATATTTTTTTAATCTCTTAATTCATGGCATTCTGTGTATATAAAAATACATATAGTTTCTCCTAAGCAGCCTTATACTGTTTTTTAAGTCATTCAGATTATCACATGGTGTGTATATAAAACTGCCTTGTACACAGAGTTAGTCACCTCATTTTACTTTAACATTTTTTCTTGAAAGGTATTTTTTTGTGTGTGTACAGTTTTTTACGGGTTTGGTTTGGTTTGGTTTGCTGTGACTTAAAGATGTGCACTACCACGCCCAACTTTGTGTACAGTTTTGTGTGGTTTGATTACATGGAATTGGTTATATCAAATTTGTATGACTTTAGTAGTATAACCAAACAATAAAAATACTTGATCTAATAGTTAGAATTGGTTAAATTGGTGTCATCATTCTGTGTTCTTATATTATGCTTTGTTCTGTTCCTTCAATCTGCCTATGATCCTTTTCCTGGTCTGATTTTAGAAGTTCTGCTGAGGTCAGCCTAGTGCACAGCAGTTAACCGTTACCCCAGTTGAGTCTGTAGGTCCAAGTAAGCCATCTTGTACACCTGCAGCTTTGCCTGTTAGCACAGTCGTGATTGTTCACAAGCATATTAATCCTGTGAGACACCTTGTCTGTCTTTCCCCCAAGTTAGCCAACCTGTTATTTAAACAAGTGAATGTGAATGAGTATTTTGTTTCTAGCCTTCATTTACTTTAATTGGTTTGTAGTGCTAGCCAGATTTTCTGATTGTATCTATAGTATCATCTAGTTGATAATGTGAATATTATGTATACAGCTTTTTTTAGATCTTTAAATTCTGGGTTTATTTGATGCACACCTTTAATCCTAGCACTCAGGAGGCATAGGCAGATGAATTTGTTTGACTTCAAAGCAAACCTGGTCTACATAGTGAGTTCCGGGCCAAGCAAGTCTATATAGTAAGAGCTTGTCTCAAATAAATAAACACTTTAATTATCTTCAAGGAAACTTATTTGCCAACTTTGCAGGATTATGAATGCTTTTTTATTTTATTTATGTTAGTTTTTCAAGACAGAGTTTCTCTGTATAACAGCCCTAGCTGTCCTGAAACTATTGCTGTAAACCAGGCTGGCCTGGAACTCACAGAGATCCGCCTGCCTCTGCTTCCTGAGTGCTGGGATTAAAGTCGATACTAGCAAATCAGTGTTAAAACTAAGGCTCAAGCTAGGAACCCTGATGCCTATGCCTGTATGTATCAAAATGTCAAAAGAACTTCTGATAGACATTATAAGTATTACATTACTTAGTCTTTATCCTACATGTTGAAGTTGAAAGATGGGAAATAAGCAAAAGCATCACCCATGCATAAAGCTGGGAAGATTGAGGAATGGGTTTCATTTTGTATTACTTTTTCTGCATGATTTTCTGTTCTTGAAATTCCCATATCTTTTAACTGCAGCTATCACCACTATCACTTTCTATTATAGAAGGAGGAAGAAATACTTTCTCTTTAAAATCAATGTTGTAATGGAAACTGTTTCTTTTTATAATTAGTAACTTTTTCTTTCAGACTCTTTGAATTCATCTTTAAAAATAATTTGTTGTTATCATGCACTATCATATTAAGACAGAGTCTCAGATAGCTCAAGCAGACCTCAGACTCACTGTGTAGCTAAGATTGACCATGTAATCCCTCCCATATGTAGGGATTACAAGCATGCACCACCACACCCAACTATATATTCATTAGAGTTAGAATATATTTACTGCTGTGGTTTTTTGCAAAATATAAGCTATAATTTTAACCAACCTCTACATTTAAATATAAAACTAAATTCATTAAATATAAAACTAAAATTCATTCTAATTATTCATGTCCAGTACAGAAGCTAAAGTTTCTTTAGTGTTTTCTAATTAATTAATTTAGTTAGTTAGTTAGTTAGCTAGCTAGTTAGTTAGTTTTGTTTTTCAAGACAGGGCTCCTCCTCATATCCATGGCTGTCCTGGAACTCACTATATAGACCAGGCTGGCCTCGAACTCCCAAGTGCTATGATTAAAGGCATGCTGCCACTGTCCAGCTTTAGTGTGTTATGATGTCAGCATTGTTGGAAGTTATCGATAAAGACTATAATTATATGTCATCTTTACAATAATCCTGTAAGAATAGCTGTTTTATAACCTAATATCATATTCAACAGTAAATATTGTCTTCTGACTCTCCTTCAGCTTCTGGATTTCTGAGAAGCCCTGTACAATACAAGATGGATCCTGTAGTCTTGAGTTATATGGACAGTCTACTGCGACAGTCGGATGTCTCACTATTGGACCCTCCAAGCTGGCTCAATGACCATATTATTGGGTTTGCCTTTGAATACTTTGCCAACAGTCAGTTTCATGATTACTCGGACCATGTCTGCTTTATCAGCCCTGAAGTCGCCCAATTCATTAAGTGCACCAGCAGCCCTGCGGAGATTGCCATGTTCCTTGAACCCCTGGATCTTGCCCACAAGAGAGTTGTATTTTTAGCCATCAATGATAATTCTAACCAAGCAGCTGGGGGTACCCACTGGAGTTTGTTGGTTTATCTCCAGGATGAAAATAGCTTCTTTCATTATGATTCCCATAGCAGAAGCAACTCAATCCATGCAAAACAGGTAGCAGAGAAACTGAAGGCTTTCTTAGGGAGCAAGGAAGACAAACTGGTCTTTGTGGAAGAGAAAGCCCCAGCTCAACAAAACAGCTATGACTGTGGGATGTACGTGATATGTAACACTGAAGCCTTGTGTCAGAACTTCTTTAGACAACAGCCAGAGTCCCTACTGCAGCTACTCACCCCAGCATACATCACAAAGAAGAGGGGAGAATGGAAAAATCTAATTGCCAGACTTGCTAAAAAAAAGAAGTAGCTACTGAAGAATGCTCCTGAAGTTTGCAGTCCCCTTTGGTGACAGCCTCAGTGCCTAAAGGAAAACCACTAGTAGATGAAAGTTTACTAGTCCTACTTCTTTGTTTTCTTGAAAAACAAATGTCATCCTCGGCATTATCTGAATGGGAAGCTTCACTTTAACCCTGAGGAGAGCAGTGTATTCTGTGAAAATGTCTTGAACTTATGTACCAAAACCTTGAGAAAAAAATCACTATACAGTTTCAAGTAAGATTCTTTTTTTTTTCTTGTTGCTATAAAATTAACTTCCTTTTGGTTTCCCCATTTCCCCCCATTGGCTTATTCTAAAGGAAAATCTAAAGCAAACCAATGACATAAGGGATCTAAAGACATGCATGAAGAAAACAGAAGTAGAACCAAAAGGTTGTTACACAGCCATAGTGAGAAGTGTCTGGCTGGAAGTGGATTTGGCCTAACTCCACTTGGGGCCTTCATATTCTAAAAATAAGGCATTCTCTAATGCAAAGGCTTTCTGTCTGCAAATATTTAATAAAGATGACTTTAGCCCATCTTCATCTGATTCTTGGAATGCTTTAAGAAAGGGGAAACTTGGGCTGGAGAGATGACTCAGCCATTAAAGGCTAGACTTACAGCCAAAAATACAAGAAAGGGGAACTTGTTGGACAGTGGTGGCACACACCTTTAATCCCAGCACTTGGGAGGCAGAGGCAGGCAAATCTCTGTGAGTTTGAGGCCAGCCTGGTCTATAAAGTAAGTTCCGGGACAGCCAGGGCTGTTATACAGAGAAACCCTGTCTCAGAAAAAAAAAAAAAAAAAAAATTGGGGAGACTTCATTAAAATAAATGACTGTGTTCTGGGGACATAACACAGAGGTGGAGCACCTGCTGTGGTGTGCAGGAAGCCCTGGATTCAATCCCAACCTGCAGCAAATTTAAAACACACACACACACACACACACACACACACACACACACACACACACACACACACACACACCACTATGGTGTGTGGTGTATCTCTTGGTTGGCTCTAGGAGTGGGTAAATTGGCTACTCCAGATTGATAATGGCTTTTCTATGCCTTGTCTGTTAGGTGTGCACCTATTGCCTCCTTTTACTGAACATGCTTTGGTTCTAAAACTAATAGTTGATAACTAGCCAAAATTTGCTGTTATTTCAGACACAGTTCTACTTTTTGGTAGCTATAGCTTTTACACTAATCTGGCAAAATTGTTTTCAGTTATGCTGTGGTAATCTTCAGACTGTTAATGATCTGAAACATAGAGCCAGTTTATTTTTAAAATATAAAGGAAGAAAAGTCACCTTTCTCAAACTCAATTCAAAATGCAGACAGCATAATTATTAAAATGTGAAACCAAGATGAAAAAGAGATAGTGTCTCCCACAACATTATTGATATGTTTTCAGTTATTTCAAATAATTTACACAAAAAGTTGGGCACACACATTAATTAGGTCCCTGATAACAATTTGCAATGCAGCTGGGCATTAGTGGCGCACGCCTTTAATCCCAGGCTCCAAAGCCATACAGAGAAACCCTGTCTCGGGGGAGGAGCAGCACAATTTGCAGTGCATATAGGATGTAAAAAACAAAGATGTAGGGTCTAGAGAGATGGCTCGGTGGTTAAGAGCACTTGACTGCTCTTCCAAATATCCTGAGTTCTATTCCCAGCAACCACATGGTGGCTTACAGCCATCTGTAATGAGATCAGATTCCTTCTGGTGTGCATGAAAACAGAGCACTCACATACATAAAACACACAAATATATAAATCTTAAAAAAAAAAAAAAAGATGTGAGTCACCCACTGAAACTGACTTCAGCTACTTCTCCACTCTAACCCTGACCCCAGCAGCCTTCATGATCCAAAATAACCTTGCCAGTCAGCAACCACAGAAGTAGTAACTCAGTTCCCCAGAGCCAGGAAGGGGAAGATGGTATAAGTGTAAAAACACAAGTCACATAAGCAGGCTTCAGTGAATGGGACCTGAAACAAGTTAGGAAAAGAAGTCTCCATTTCAAGTTAGTATGTTTCGAACCAAAAGACTTAATGAAAGATAAGAGGCAGGAGAATGTTAGGAACTGGCAAAGAGCCATCAATGAAACACAGAGGAGACAGCAAGTGTAGAGCAGCAACACAGGTTGCTAATAGGCCACCAGTGGAGATAACAGTAGCAAAGCAGTATCATTTCAGTGGCTGTTGAGTTAGGCAGCTGATCAGACCATCAAAGAGTTCCTTCTCTGTGGAAAGTTGTCTTTCTGATAATGCAAAGTATGCTTGTTTGCTTAAATATCAGACTGCTAATGCATATGAGAGCAGTCTTGACTAATTGCCTAAGGTTTGTCCCAGAAATGAATTCTTTTTTAACTAAACTATTAAATCTTTGTTTAAAAATACAAAAAATATACAGTCTCCCAGGACGGCCTCCAAAGCCACAGAGAAACTGTGTCTCGAAAACAAACAAACAAACAAAAAAAGAGACTAACTTGGGACTTAGTTCAGCCATGCTATGTATTTAGAAAAGAGATATTTCATTTTTTTCAAGACAGGGTTTCTTTGTAGCTTTGGAGTCTGTCCTGGAACTAGCTCTTGTAGACCAGGCTGGTCTCGAACTCACAGAGATCCTCCTGCCTCTGCCTCCCAAGTGCTGGGATTAGGGATTAAAGGTGTGTGCCACCACTGTCCAGCTGTTAGTCTCTTTTTAAAAAGCATTGAGTATGATTAGTGAGATGGCCCAGAGGGTTAAGCCACTAAACCTGATGACCTAAATTTGATCCCAGGACCTACTTGGTAGAAAAAACTGATTCTTTATAAATTGTCCTCTGTCTCCCATAAGTACACCATGTATATATATATATATATGTATATAAATATATACATATATTTTAAGAAATATATGTATTTCTTAAAATACATATGTATATAAATAAATATATATTTATATACATAAATATATGTATATAAATAAATACATATTTATTTATTTCTTAGGGAGCAAGGAAGACAAACTGGTCTTTGTGGAAGAGAAAGCCCCAGCTCAACAAAACAGCTATGACTGTGGGATGTACGTGATATGTAACACTGAAGCCTTGTGTCAGAACTTCTTTAGACAACAGCCAGAGTCCCTATATGTATACATATAGGGCACACATATGTATATAAATAAATAAGGCCGAGTGGTGGTGGCACATGCCTTTAATCCCAGGACTTGGGAGGCAGAGGCAGGCAGATCTGAGTGAGTCTGAGGCCAGTCTGGTCTACAAAGTGAGTTTCAGGACAGCCAAGACTATCACACAGAGAAATCCTGTCTCTAAAATAAATAAATAGTAAAATCTTGAGTATATCATTTGAAAATGTTGGCATTGTAAATAACAGATTTTAAGTTGACATGAAGTATTTCACTAAACACTAGGATAGTCTTTTATGCACTGCTTGACCATACACAATTAATATAATACTAATAATACTATATTAATAATATGAATATATTAATACTATTAATATAATACTATTTTATTCCAAATATCCTATTGTGCTGCCCCATAGATATATTCATATTTGTTCAACCTGAGTCTCAATATGGAATTGAGAAGTTACCATATATAAATCCAACATTAGCTGGAATTAATATATATGTATACACGTGCACACTCATACATTCACTGTATCAACAGATTTTCTATTTGTTACTGTCTACACAAATACATCCATCCCTATTAGCTAGGATGTTGAAATTCATAAACACCTGTTCTAACTAAAAAGGAATAATTTAAAAATTATTAAGTGTATTAAGTAATTCCTATGTGTATTATAGTTATATGCTTTATTTTTACTATACTACAGATTTTTTTTCTTTGAAACAGTCTTGCTTTATAGTCCCAGCTATCCTCAAACTTGTCATTCTCCTGCCTCAGCCTACTAAGTGCTAGGACTACAGATGTGCAACACCATAGCCAGCTGATGCTATAATTTTTATAATTTCCATATTGACAGTGTGTTCTAATAATAGTCATTCTAGGGGCTGGAGAGATGGCTTAGAGGTTAAGAGCACTGACTGCTCTTCCAGAGAACCTGATTTCAATTCCCAGCACCCACATAGTGGCTCACAACTCCAATTCAATGGAACCTGACACCCTCACACAGACATACATGCAGGCAAAACACCAATGCTCATAAAATAAAAATAAATTGATTTAAAAAATCATAATAATAGTCATTCTATTTAAATGGCAAAGTAGAATTTCTCAGCTACATACTTACGTATGCTGAAAATTTGGTGGGTTTTTTTTTTTCTTTCATCACTTAGATAAACTAATTGAATGGAGAGGTTACTCGGTGGGTAAAGTGCTTGCTCACAAGCATAAAGATCTAAATATGGTGGTGGGCATTTGTAATCCCAGTGCTGGAGAAGTGGAGAAGGGAGGGCCCTGAACCGTTGCTAACCAAACAGTCTAGCCATGGGTGAGCTCCAGTGTAAGTGAGAGACCTTGTCTTAAAAAATAAGATGGAATCAAATGGTACGTGCCTTTAATCCCAGCACGTGGGAGGCAGAGACAGGTGGATCTCTTAGTTCAAGGCCAGCCTGGTTTACACAGAGAAACCTTCCTTGTCTTGAAAAAACAAACAAACAATAAATAAATAAATTACAGAGGAAGACGTCCAGTATTGACTCTGTCCTCCAAACATACAAATATAGGAATGAATTAACATGCACCCATATACCATACACACACACACACACACACACACACACACACACACACTCTATATATACAAAATAATTATAGAAGTGTTTATGCCATGGCATTAGGCCAATGAATTCTTTAATCAAAGCTAAGCTCTCTTGGTTTCAAACATTTTTAGCTTTATTTTCTTTCCAGGTGCATGAGTGTTTAGCATGCATGTGCATCATATGCATGCCTGATGCCCTGAGAGGTCCAAAGACAGTTTGGGTTCCTTGGAACTGAATTACAGTAGCTGAGCTACTGTCTGTGAGCCACCATGTGGGTGCTGAAAACTGGTCCTCTACAAGAGCAACAAGTGCTCTTAACTGTGGAACCACATCTCCAGCCCCAGTTATCTTTTTGTGTATGTGTATGCACCAGAAATTGAACCCTAAGCCTTCCACAACCTTGGCTCTATTGGCTGGGCTACACCCTCAGCCCTGTTGTTTTTCACTTTGGAAGATTTCTGTTTGGTTGGTTGGTTGGTTTTTTGTTTTTTTGAGACATGGTTTCGCTGTATAGCCCTGGCTGTCCTGGAACTCAGAGATCTGCCTGCCCCTGCCTCCAAGTGCTGCCTGCCCCTGCCTCCAAGGCATGTGTCACTGTAACTGGTTTTTTTGTTTTGTTTTGTTTTGTTTTGTTTTAAGACAAATTCTTACAACTCTGGTTGTTCTGGAAGTCACTATTTAGAGCTGGCTGGCTTCAAACTCACACAGATCCATCTGCCTCTGCCTCTGCCTCCCAAGTGCTGAGGTTAAGTTTTTGTTTGTTTATTTGTTTTGTTTTGAGATTTCACTTTGTAGTCCAGGTTAGCCTGAAGCTCACTATGTAGCTAGTGCTGGCCTGGAACTTGAAGCAGTTCTCTGGCCTCAAGCCCAAAAATCTGGGATTTGAGAGTGGAGCCACCATGCCTAGTTAATTATGAATTTATAACCTCAGGTAAATTTGAGATTCAGGGCCTAATCTGTGAAAAAACTAGTGTGTTTAGGTTAAGTACCATTAGGATTGAATAGCAGTGTGAGGCATATGACAATTACTAAAATAAACATTATTTCTCTCTCTGTCCTCCCATTTATATGCTTTTTGTTGTTATTGTTGTTCTCATTTTTCAAGACAGGGTTTCTTTGTGTAGCTTTGGAGCCTGCCCTGGAACTCACTCTGTAGACCAAGCTGGCCTCAAACTCAGAGATTGGCCTACCTCTGCCTTCCAAGTGCTGGGATTAAAGACGTGCATCACTACCACCTGGCTACTTGCATTTTTTTAAAAGACTAATAGCAAGTTTCAAAACTTGGTTTTAGCCAGGAATGGTAGTGCAGGTCTCTAATCTCAGCTATTCAAGGATGATAAATACTAACATATAGCCTACATGGCATTCTGTGTTAAATACTTCAGACATGCATAAAATATGTGTGCTATATATTGCTGTATTTTCAAGTATTCATTATAAAGGTTTTATACATATATAGTCTTTTTAATGTTGGGTTGTTTTTTTTTTTTTCAGGAGAAGGGGAGTTGAGATAGTCTCTCATAGCCCAGGCTAGCCTCCAACTTGATAAGTAGTCACACCATGAACTTCTGACCTGAGGTCTCCACCTCTGGAGGGCTGATTTTATAGCTAATATGCCACCACTCCTGGCTATTCTCATGTTTTTTTTTCAGGTGATATAATTCCCATCTCATAATAAGAAATAAACTCAGAGAATATCAACCATGTGACCTCTGTCTCCTCATATTCTTTGCACCTATTCCTCCCCACCCCCAGAAAACAGTGGGGAGAAGTCCCTGCTTGAACATTATCTAATGCAACCTTGCTTTCCTTTCTGGATTTTGCATATTCTGCTGGTGTGCTGCAGAAACCAGTCCTAACTGTCATATAACTATTAAGCAGCAGAACCTGGATAGTAAGTAACTGGCTTGTTTTATACATTAGGTCATCTTTGGACCAGCTCCTGATGTCCATGTACTGATCTAAGGTTCTGAAAAAGCCCTACAGTGCACTTCCTATTTTAAGTGGCCTTTCATATTCTTATTATATATGCAAGATAGGGAATAAAACAAGAGCAGACATCTGGAGGATCTATTAAAAATTGGAAGGGGGACTTTAGGAATGTGTCAAAAAAAAAAAAAAAACTAGGACTAAGCAAAGATAAAGTGGTTCTACACAACATAGGGCAAATTAGTCACCAGGTTTCAACATGAGGCTGAATTTCCACTAAGGAAAATGAAGTGTTTAATGTACTTAAATAAAATGTTATTGAGGCTGGAGAGATGGTTTAGTGATTAAAAGCACTTACTGTTTTTGCAGAGGACCTGAGTTTGATTCCCAGCAACCACATGGTGGCTCACAGCCATTGGTAACTCCACTTTCAGGGATCTGATGCTCTGTTCTGAATTCTGCAGGTAAAACAAAGGGGAAATGTTGTTGAGTAAGAAGCAACTAATATGTCGGTGTGTCAAAGGACAGGGCAGTGTTGTCTTCAGTGCCCATAGTAAGGTGAGTTTTTATGCTGGAAATAAATTACTCTTAAATCCTGTGGTTTGTGTTAAAAGACAAGATAAAGGCAGCTCTCTGGATTGGTTTTCTTCACATACTAGCACCTAGCAGTCCATGTGAAGGACAGGTCCTTTTCCCACAGTGTAAGCTTAGACAGATTTCTGAACCAGTTCTGAAGCCAGGGTCTGCTTTCCCAGCCAGCTCGCACTCTGCTCGGAACAACACTTCACTCATCTTCACCCTCAGCCTTACCTCTGCCCTTTCTCCTACTTCAACAAGAGTAGGAGCCAGCAGAATCAAACTTCCCTGACACCAAATCTACAAACCTACCTGTATCCATACCCTTCTCAGAGCCTTCCCTCCTCAGAGCTAAGGCTGACCTCCATCTGTGGACAGGGACCTTATGCAAACACCTCTTTCATACACACATCATTGGCCTTCACTGGTCCCTAGCCAACAGCTTTGAATGTATGAACTCTCTGTTTTTGTTTTGTTTGTTTTGTTTGTTTGTTTTTTGTTTATTTGTTTTGGTTTTTTGAGACAGGGTTTCTCTGTGTAGCTTTGGAGCCTCTCCTGGCACTCGCTCTGGAGACCAGGCTGGCCTTGAACTCACAGAGATCCGCCTGCCTCTGCCTCCCGAGTGCTGGGATTAAAGGAGTGCATCACCAATACCTGGCTAACTCTGTTTTTCAAAATCTATAAAAGCATGTCTCCCTGTAAGTACTGACTCGTTACTTCCTCCTCTTCGCAGCTGCATGCAAGGTGTCTACACTGGGCTCTGTAACTGCTTCCCTCCCTCCCAGTTCTCAAGCCACTTCAATCTGGATTCTGTCACAGTTCCTCCACAAATGCCCCTCATAAGAGCACTAGTAGTTTTTATTTTATGAGCAGAATAAATAGCGTCAAACCCTCCTTTTCAAACCTCTCTTCCTTTACCTGATGCAAGACCCAGTTTTCCCTCCTCTGGTCACTTTCTTAATTGCCAGTGTCTTCTTCACACCCTGTATTCTAGGGCTTTAATCCCACAGTCCACTTCTCACTGCATACTTCCTGCGCTCTCCACTACCAAGACCAATGACAGATTTCAATTCACCAAACTCCTCTTCCAAGCTTCAACCTGCATATCCATGTACCTGCTGCACACCTTCACTTAGGGATGCCATAGCATCCTTGCAGGCCCCATATCCCAAAAGTCAACTCATCTTTCCTCATCCAACCTATTCCTCCCCCATTCTAGCCAGAAATGTTGGAGTCATCCTTGACTTTTTCTCCCACGTACTCCACATCCATCAGCCTTCTAGTCCTGTTGATTCTACATTTAACTATGCTTTAATCCATGTATTTCTGTCTCTCTCTGTCTGTGTCTGTTTCTCTGTATCTGTCTGTGTGTCTCTCTGTCTCTCTGTCTCTCTGTCTCTCTCTCTCTCTCTCTGTCTCTCTTTCTCTCTGTCTCTCTCTCTCTCCATTCCAAATAGTCACTCTCATATCAGGTATGGTGATGGACACCTGTTATCCAAGCACTTGGAAATCTGAGGTAGACTATTGCAAGCTTAAGCCTGGTCTACACAGTGAATCCCAGGCCAGCCTGAACTACACAATGACAAAAACAAAACTCAGAAGACAGCCACAGTCACTCTCCTTTCTAGACAGCTGACTATCTTCTAAAGTGGTCTTCCAGGGCTATCAGGCTCCCCAGACTCAATTCCCCTCTGCCTTCTGCCAGTGTTTCCAACAGATTATCTAGATAATCTGTCCTCCCTATTCACATTGCCTCTTCACCAGCCCCCTGTCTTAGACTCCCTTGTCCTTATTTCCTCTAACACACACATTCTTTCCCCTAACGCTTTCACACAGGATTAGGGAATCTGGTTCAGTGGTAGAGTGCTTGTCCACCTAGCACACATAGGCCCCAGGACAGGGAGAGGGAGAACAGGAGGAGAGTGAACACCTGCCTTTAGTGGTCCTCCTCAGGGACATCCCAGACCAGTTTGCTTCCCTTGCTGAATCCTAGAATCAGGAATCCTCTCAGTGGGTCCTAATCACACATAATTTTTGGTATTGTGTCTCCCCCACTAAGTTGTAAGAGAGAGGTCACTGCCTCCCACACTACCTGGCATAAAAACACTCATTATTTGTTGAATGGATAAACAGGAATATAGAAGCTATTTATCAAAGGAAAAAAAGAAAACCATCATCCTTCCATGGCATAGTCACAGAAATCAAAATGCTACACCAATCTATGTAACTTTTCATGCTTACATAAGACCAAGTTATGGGGGGAGGGGTCAGTGAACTTATGTAACCTGACAGAGAATGAGGAACCCACCAAACTGGCCAATCTAGCTAGGGACATCCTTTTAGCTGGTCTGCTCCTTTCTCAGGGGTTTTCACATTTTACCTAGTTGCAATGCATGTTGCAAGCACTATTTTAAAGATAACAAGGAGTTATATCAAGCTAATAGAGTTTCGTTTTCTAAGCCATGCTGTCCCACTGTTAGGCTTTAGGAACTCCAGTGCTATAGAGATCCTTTTAATAACTTTTATTTCAATTTTTCTCCCTAAGGGGCCAGAGAGATGACTCAGGGAGTAAAGGTATTTGTTGTCAAATCCAACCCCTGAATTCAAATCTTGGAGACTTACATGGTGGAAGAAGAAAACCAACTTCTGCAAGACTCTCCTCTGATCCCTACAAGTGCACATAAAAAATAAAATCTGTTTAAAAATACATGTAAACAAAATACTTAAAAAATCAAAATTTCTCCTTGAGGAATAAAAACCATGGTTTAGACAACCCAAGAACCACTCCAGAAATAGGTATAATTACTATGTATCAATTAAAAGCCATAGCAGAGTCAGTCATGGTGACACTTTGATAACCCCAGCACTAGGGAATCTGAAGTAGGAGGATCGGGAGTTCAAGACTCAGTGTCAGTTACATGAGATCTTGTCTCAATGTCTCTGCCCTACCCCCTCAAAAAAGGCACTAATCTATAATTACGTTCTTGCATATAGACAGCCAAAGTCATCTAAAAATCAATATGCAGTACCATATTGTAGCTCCACCGGCATCAAATTTTGTATTTGCTTATTTATGGACTTTTTTGAGACATGCAACATAACCCTGGCAAAACTACAACTTGCTATATAGACCAGAGTAGTCTTTAAACCTGTGTCAATCTTCCTGCCTCCTGAGTGTTGGAATCACAGGTGTGCACCATCATACTCAGCTTACATTTATTTCTTTAAGTTTAGCAGGTAACAACTAATGTTTGTTTAGTTCTTTCTATGTATCAGGAAGTTCTGAGGGTTTAGCATGAATTTTCCTATATGATAATAACGATTAGCCTGAAAGGTAAGCTGGACTGAATAGCTCTTGTAGAGTTTTCCATTTGTCAGCTCATACTGTGCCCAAAAAGTCAGATTTTGGAACTTTTTAGACTTTGGATTCGGGAGTCTCACTGTAAAATGTTTTATTATCTTTAGTTATGTGTATGTGAGGGTGTGTGTGTGTGTGTGTGTGTGTGTGTGTGTGTGTGTGTGTGTGTGTCTGCACATTTCAGCAGGTGCCCACAGATGCCAGAAGCATCAGATCCCCCAGAGCTGTAGTTATTGACAGTTGTGGGCTACCTAATGTGAGTGCTGGGAACTGAACTAGGGTCCTCTAGAACAGCATCAAGTGCTCTTAACTACTGAGCCATCTCTCCAGACTCAACCTGCACAATTTCATCCTTCTTTTGAAAATGAGGACCCTGAGACTTGGAGTTTCCCAAGTTAAGTAAATACAAGTTTAAATGTAGATATACTAATTCCAAATCCTGTACGCCTTTTCTGTTGAGGGGGGCGGGCAGGGAGGGAGAGTTAGTTTGTCTCATGGAGCCCAGGCCAGGCTGGCTTTAATTGTAGTCTAGCTGAGAATGACCCTGAACCTCCTGCCTTCTGCTCCAGTACTGGGATTTACAGGTGTGTGTCCCCAAGACACACCGGAACTTAAGCTCTTAACTAACAGACTCTGCTATATCTTGATTGTTAGTAGTAGCAGTGCTTCTTCTGTTTTATTGGGTAAAGAGGAAAGAACACTATTAGGAACAAAAAGTAAATGTAGCCTCCCTAGTTTCCAGGGGTGGTGGTGCACATCTTTAATCCCAGCACTCAGGAGGCAGAAGCAGATGGATCTCTGAGTTCAAAGACAGCCTGGTCTATAGAATGAGTTTCAGGAAAGTCAGGACTACACAGAAAAATCCTGTCTTGAAAAACCAAAAAAGGAAGGAAGGAAGGAAGGAAAGGAAGGAAGGAAGGAAGGAAGGAAGGAAGGAAGGAAGGAAGGAAGGAAAGGAGTTAGAAAAATGACTCAGTACTTAAGAGCATTTGCTGTTCTTGCAGAAGACTTGGGTTTGTTACCCAGCACCCACATGGCAACTCACAACCATTTGCAACTCCAGTTCCAGAGGATCTGATGCCTCTTCTGACCTTTATTGACATCACACATACAACTGGTGAACATGCATGCATGTAAGTATGCAAGCAAAACACACATATAACAATAAAGAAATCTTACAAGATGTAAAGCAAAAAAAAAAAAAAAAAAAAGTTTTAAGGACTTAGGTTTATGTGGACCAGGAGGATACAAGAGAGATCAATTGTGACAAATAATTAAAAAAAAAAAAAAAGAAATTTGGAGTTTTCAATGGATATCTTAGAGAAACAGAAAGCCATAGTGGAGGTCAGTGAGATAGAAACATCCTAGAAGCAGGACAGGAGACTAGGAGCTACACAGGACACAGCCACTGAGAAGTTTCTCACTATTGTAGAAAATGGCTATCAAGTTTCTCAAATCGGACAACTACACACTGAGTTTGAAGCTTTCTTCTATGTGCTGTGGCATTCTATTAAGTCTACAAGACAAGTCCAACCTTTGGAAATTGTAATGTGATGACATCATCTACAAAGTACACAGTGGGGAATGACACAATTGAGTTACTTTTTAAAAAAAAATTGATGGGTGGGGGGGCTTGAAATGGCTCAGCAAGCAAACGTGCCTGCTCTGTAAGCCTGAAGATCTAGTGAGGGGACCTCCATAGCTGCCATGTGTGTGCCACCAACACCTGACTGCTACAAACGTGCCATCACACACACACCCAATCACAATGAACTAGTTTTAACTGTCAAAACCAAAGCTCACAATGTTTTAAGAACATTTACAGTTTCTGTTCTGAGCTACACTCTGACTTTCCTTGGTCACAAGTGGTGGCCTGTGGCCCAAGGGCCACGACTTGAACACTCCTCAACCTTTCCTACAATTAGACTCCATGGAGCATTTGGAAGAACGAAGGGTGAGGAGTGACAGGCACACCATGAATCAGAAAGGCCACTGCCAAAGTCACAGGAGACAGTGGACAACGTGGTCTGACCCAGGAAATCAGAAGCAGTCTTGGAAAGCCTTAGAAGACTGAGATCTCAGGACGATTTCTCACCATGAAGGAAGGGAAATGGGTCTTAGGAATGGCGTGTAAGGCTGGACACAGTACACTTCTGTGATTGCAGCATGCAAGGCCACTAAGACAAGTTCAAGACTATCTGGCCTATGCAGCAAGACTGTTTCAAAAATCAAAGAGAAGGAAGAGGGAGAGAGGGAAGGAGAAGAAGGAAGGACTGACTGTAAGTATTAAAATATTTGAGGGTTCCATACTGGAAACTTCTTGGTCACTTCCAAGTCCAAAAATACCATGAATGAATCTGGTATTGTACACATACCTTTAATTCTCGTAATCACAACTTGGAGGCCAGCCTGGGCCTAGTTTGTGAGTTCCAGGACAGCTTGGGCTACAGAACAAGAGCCTGTTTTTTTTTAAAAAAGGCACTGTTGACACAGAGTGAAATGAATTAAACTTGTTATCGTTTGTCCTTGTCTCCACACTAATGTTTGGCAATTTGCTATCAGTACACCAAGCCCTTCTGGGTTTCCCCCTGCCTCACTGGGTGCTCTCAGTTTCCTTTGCCACTTCCTCCTCCTCTTCCTGATCTCTCAGTGACATGTGCCTCAGTCCTCAGGCCCCCAGTCCCCGCTGCTCTATCAGCATGTTCATTCACATGGTGATCTCACCCAGTGTCATCCTAAAAGGATTACTGTAGCCAGGTATGGGGTCTCACAACTGCAATCCCAGCACTTGGAAGGCTGAGGCAGAGGGATTGTCATGAGTCCAAGATAATCTAGGCAACTCAATAGTGAGCTTCAGGATAGCCAGCTACAGAGTGAAACCTTGTCTCAAAAAAACAAAACACTTGATAGGCAAAAGAAAACAGACCTCTGTGGGTTCCAGGCGGGTCAGAGCTACATAGTGAGACTTAATTTATTTATTTATTTATTTATTTATTTATTTATTTATTTATTTATTTATTTTGGTTTTTCAAGACAGTGTTTCTCTGTGGCTTTGGAGGCTGCCCTGGAACTAGCTCCTGTAGACCAGGCTGGTCTAGATCAGCCGGCCTCTGCCTCCCAAGTGCTGGGATTAAAGGCATGCGCCACCAGCGCCCGGCAAGATTGTCTTTAAAACAAACAACAACCACAAAAACTATCTCCCAGTCGTCTCTCCGACACTCAGGTTTCTTAACCCATCACTTACGTGACATCCCCACTTGGCTATATAAAACTTACCTCAGACTTAGCATGTCCAATACTGTTATTTCTTTTCCATTTTATTTATTTAAATGGCTATGGGGTCAGGTGACAACTCAAGAGAGTGCATTCTCTTCTTCTGTTATGTGGGTTGCTGTGATTAAACTCAGGTCATCAGGCTTGGCACCCTTTACCCACTGAGCTGTCTCCCCTGCCTCCAACGCTACATTTCTGACCTTCCTCTCCAGAGCTCTACTGCTCATGGATATCTATGTCGTTTCAAGCCACAAAATCATGAAGTCATCCTTAAGTACTGTAGTGCCCTCTCTCCAGACTGACAGATGGTCTGGCTTCTGAGCTCAGAACATACCCAAAATCAGCCCCTTCCACCCATTTCCACTTCTAGTCCGACTGGCTACTCCTCAGCCAAAGTGGCTCTTGGGTAAGCGGGCCTTGGGGGAATTGGGTAGGAAATGAATCCTGCCATCAGCCACTGTCTTGTTGGTGAGCCTCCAGGACATTATCTATCACCTCGGTCTCTGTTCTGAAGGGTTCTGTTGTGCAGAACCATCTACTTCTGAAGCCTATTGGGCCAGGAAGTTCTTTGGCATCGACATTTCCTGTGGCAAGGAAACAATTTTTACTTTATCAGCTATTCCAAAAGTCAATAGATTTGAGCACAGTGCTAACAAAATATATGCTGAGCTGGGAATTGTACTCAGGAGCTGAATGTATAGTTCAGCAGTATAGCACAAGACCCTGGGTGTACACACACACACACACACACACACACAGGAATGACAACAATAATAAGTTTAAAGGCCTGTCACTATTCTGAGGTAAGTCTCTTAATTCTCTGCCATCAGATCAGTGAGTCTCAGTTGGAAACAGTTTTACCCTCTCTACAGGAGATATTTGACAATGTTGGGGGGGTGATTTGGGTTGTCATAAGCAGAGGGAAAGGGTACCCTGGCAGAATACTTAGGCTATGACTAAGTATCAGACACAGACAACCCCCTATAATGAAGTTATCCAACCCAAACGCCAGTATTACAGACACTGGAGAGCATGATCTAGACTCTTGGCTTGGTCTTAAACCAAGGGCCAATAAG